TAGGGCTGTGGAGAGGCCTGTTCCAGGTTTGGTTCCTCTGAAGCAGACTGAGACAGAAGGTAGCAAGCAGGGCTTCTTGAGGGAGTCCTTTTAAGAGCAACCCCTGTAAAAGGGAGAGTGGGAAGCAGGAATGGGCAGAGAGAGCTGAGCTCTGATGCAGTCCCAAGGAAAGTGGCAAGAAACCCAGAGAACACTCTGGAAATGGGAGAGCTTGTTAGCCCTACCCTGAGTTGAACCAAAAAGGGCAGGGACCTACAGCCCCTCAGTAGATCAGTCCCTGGATGCAGTTTTCGTCAGCTAAGCCAGTCCCCAAAGGACAAATGAGATCCGTCTTCCTGTAGTATTCTCAGCATCTGGGGGAATACATTCTTCATTCCTGAAAGGGGACCGCAGCCTCCCCAACAAACGTTAGATGAGATGACCCACACGAAGCTCGTAACGCCACGACCGGCCCGCAGTAAATACTTAGTAAGTGGCAGCCATTACATTTACTGTTGTTCTTGTAACTGTTATTTGCCAGGCACTGTACCAGAGGCTGGGACACAGTGGCTATTAGGATTCTGCTTCTGCCCTCCAGAAACTCAATCCACAGGCAGACCAGACCAGCAAATAAGCATTTGCGGCACAGTGCGCTTGGTAGGGCAGCACAGGACTCGTAGAAGAGCATGTGGAAGGGACACGTGACCCAGACAGGGAGAGGGAAGGAAGAGTGATGCCAAAGGTGATACCTGGAGACGAAGAGGAGTCAGCCAGGCAAGGGACTTGCAGGTGCTGGGGGTGGGGAAGAAGGTGGAGCAAGCAGCGTGTGCAGATGAGGGAAGCGTGTGCCTGGTACAGTTCAGCTCGGCCAGAGGTCTGTGTGTACCAGGCCAAGGAATGTGGACGTGGATACAGAGATGGCAATGGGAGCCATGCGATCATGCTAATCAGAGGAAGCACATGGTCCATTCGTGCTTGAACAAGATCGCCCCGGCTGCCATGTGGGCAAGGGATTGGGCCTGGACAAAATGAGAGGCCACCGCCTGGGTCCAGATGAGAGATTAGGGTGACCTGGGCCATACTGGTGGTACTGAGGAAATATTGCACAGAGTCAAGGGATATTGAGGAGGTGGAATCTACAGGTTTGGTGATGACCGGGTGGTAAGAGAGCAAGAGGACCATTGCTTACGCTTCTGACCTGGGCAATCCACAGAAGCCCTGGTGTCTTAGTCCATTCAGGCTGCTATAACAGAATACCAGAGACTGGGTGGCTTATAAGGAACAGAAAATTTATTTCTCACCGTTCTGGAGGATGAGAAGTCTAAGATCAAGGCGTCAGCAGAGCTGGTGCCTGGTTCATAGACAGCCACCTTCTCACTCGGTCCTTTTGTGCTGACAGAGGAGCAGGGAGCTCTCTAGGGTCTTTCTCTCTCTCTCTTTAAAGTTTATTTATTTGTTTTGAGAGAGAGAGAGAGAAAGCGTGA